CGTTTTGTTTGTAGTCCGATGCCCCAGAACCTCAGATCTGAACGCTTTTACCAGGCAGATTAACGATCTAAGCGTTTGTAGCGTTAACACCTCCGGTAGATGCACTCTAATCAATTTTTATTTTCGTCTGATTAAAATGAAGTTTTATCTCAACCTAAGATGATCTAATTTCAGTTTATTGAGTCAAAGGTGAAGGCTAACTCTATAAATCTGTACGTATCTTAACATCAATTCAATATTTGACATTAAGTGCGAGTTTAAGAGACTGGGCCTAGTGAAAATGAAATGTAGTTTTACGTTCAGTTTTCGGCAGTTTTTATGGTTTGATGTTGTACTGTTGTGCAGGCAGAAGACTTTCATACTTTTCTCAAGGATTCATCTACACTTAGGGATATTATGATGAATGCTTGTTTCACGATGTTTTATTTGCGAAAAAAAGTCTGAACTGCTGTTGGTGGTTACAAGTTGACTTGTTGTACAGTGAATTCCGATCTCTGTGTACTATCTGAATATTTTCCAGGATTATATTCTTCAGGTACTAGTTTGTAATCTTCTATTTTCCCTATTTTAAATAATTACAAATGCATTTGATACAATAGTTATATTTATTTGAATCTTTTCACTTCAATACACTAAAGGGAGATAACAAGTGTTATTCAATACATCATTGGGCGAGTCTGATTGACTCGTTCCACTAATTCATTTGCCATCTCTTCCCATGTTAAAACACGAAATTCAACCTTCTACAACTTTTACAAAAATCTCGTTGAAAGTTTTCCAATATGTCTAATGAAAGCCAGATCAATCTTTAATGTCCTCTAATAAATTCAATATATGATGACCATGAAAATTTTGAGCTTGCCAAATTGAAAGTAGACTACTACCGGTTATACTCAGTTTGGCAGTTCACAAATCGACTATTTTTACAATTATCCTTCCGCCTTTAAGTCTCTCACTATCTCACCAATTCTTATAGATAATGTAATTTCAGACATCAAATTCCAAATCTACACTCTATTAAAGGCACACAAAAGCCGTGAAAGGGGGAGAGGAAGAAGTTTGGACTATAATTCGTATGGGGAAACGAAAGTCAACACTGGATGTAGAATACAACAATCTGTGTAATAATAATCTTAACCAATAAACATCGGTGATCCATCTTAATATCATGATCTACAGCATTATCTGGACAAATTTGATCATAACCTACCAAAAGACAAACAATCTCAAGGATTGATATGGTCCAAACAATACACTATTTTATGTTCCAATGATTACGACCTTTACTGTCATTTCCATTTTTGGTGCCGATCCTGCCAAGTCATGTTTCAAGTTTGACTCTGAGAGAATTCGATCCACTTGCTAAAAATGAAAGTAAAAATAATGCGTGATAGCTCTTGAAGAAATGGATAACCATCAGTGTGTTTTCTTTCTGGCTAAGAAATCAATGGAGATCGGAGGGGGACAAACAATAACTGCCGGATTCAGTTGATTGGATGGTGTGGGAGAGTGGGCTATCAACATTTTTAAAAATGTAATGCTGCTATCCTGCAACTTTTGAATTATCCATTCTTATAAGTTATGAGTAATATCTAGGCCTACTGAGCAGATTCAAAGTTGGATCTCTTAATGTCTAGATTGAGAGGAAACCGTTGCAAAACCATCATGGAAGTTTTTTATTATGAAAAAATTCAGTCTACTTTAAACAATATAAATACTCAATATCCTTATACGCCTTTAATAAATCAGTTCAGGTTGGCTATAATAATTTTCATTAAGTATGAACTAACGTCTCGTCGATGTTTTGATTGCAATCTCAACTCTGTGTGTACGCCTTTTACACTTAGGCCTACAGTTGGTCCAGTACTGACAGTGCAGGTACTAGGAATTTTTTTAGGACAATTGACGTGGTCGCTTCAAGTTCAACAATTCAGTCTGCAGATTACGAACGAAACTGTCATCCGTAAAATGTTCAGAGCAGATACCCGAATGTTTCATCAGATTATAGTTTTTCCGTTTCATTAAAAGAACATATTTTTTTCTGTAGTTTGTCGCTTTTCGTTATGATGTTAAAATAGCTGACACTTTCAGTTCTTCTCGAGTCATTGTTGCATTCGAAAACTGCACATTAAACCATGTTAGCATTGACGAATGTCGAAAAATGTTCCGATGATAAACAAAGAGTTTTCAGCTACGGTGTCTACGGTACTGAAAAGCATCGGAAACAAATGCCGTACTATAAGAATATGGTCAATGCGTTAAAGGCGTTTACACAGCCATTCGTGCTGAAGCGCTGACTTTTAGTTTATATATTCTACATTGCAATAAATATTGTCCAGATGAGGAAAACGTTGACGAAGTTAGAGGGGCAAGTGTTTTAAGTTCTTTTGGATACAATCTTTTCAAAATTAACTCTAAATGCAATACCTTATTGTTTTTGGGCAAAGAGGTGGGAGGGGGGCAATCTCACACTTCCAAAGGTTCCGAACGTTTTATCAGTTAAATGCCACAAATTGACCTTTTTAAAGTTTGAAAGTTTTTCAAAACAAAATAACAATAGTGAACATACACAATTTTGTCCGAATAATCCAAAAATATTTATCTGTCTTATCTTCGAATATTTATTAGTGAAATCAGGCGAAGACACGAGAATTCTATTTATTATTCGGCATTGATATATGATATAAGGAAATTGTCGTATTGTAAGCCCGGTGTACACGCCATTCGTCAAGCATGAAAAACTGAAATCTCCTGCTTGGTTTTTTTTTGGAACAAATGACGATGAGACTGAGTCGGTGGGGTGGGGATAGTTTAAAAATATTACTTATGATTATTAATATTAAAGCAATTAAATTTTTCAAACTTCGTCTTTGGAGGGACTTAATCAGACCCTACATGACGGAGTTTTGCCGAGAAAGTGAGGCATTGTCTTGAAAAATGGAAGATTCAAAGACAAACATTTTAGCAGCCTGAAAGACGTAAATATGCTAGGGGCGAATTCCGAGGAGACTAACATGAGACCTACCACTATCTCAAGAAGGAATTGAGATAGGTGGACAAGCCTATACAAGCCTCCACCAGCATTTGAGGAACTCCCAAGGAAAGTGTGAAAAAAAAACTAAAATCTAGACTTAAACTCCGCAAAAGGCTGTGTATAAATATAAAAGTAAATTATTTTTTCGTGTATATTACTTTTAGTTAGCTAAATCATTATAATTTTGACAATAAATTTAGACAATTTAATTATTAATGAATTTATTATTATAATTTTGACAATCAATTGATATGATTTAATTATGAATTAATATTGTATCACCATCAACATTGAATAGTGTCCTCGATATCCAAATCTTATTGGATTGACTTGATGAGATTGAGCAGGGGAAAATCTATCGTTCTGACAAAAACTGATGTAACTCGGGATTTGGAATGGGGCAACCACCCACGAATACACGAATTTTGTTCTCTAAGGGAATGGGTTTTTGAGCTTGAATATAAATGTTCGTTATTTTTTGAACAGATAATTTGACACAACTCTTATTAATCAACGTGATTGTTTCGCAGGGAATGAATAGGTTGAACCATTTTCTGCGACGTACATGAACATTAGGAAACTTTACGGCCTAACCAAAATCGTGTAGTAAATGACCATAAACTGACAGGCTTGAAGCTACAAAATTTCCAAAGGGGATTATCAAGAAACAATATTGCTCTCATATCCGCGGGCACTGACAACAAATAAATAATTATTCTGATTTAATAATAATATATCAATTGATTGTTAGTTTTAGTATGAACAAGAGTACTAAGATTATTGGAAGAAACATAGTTGTTGTGATTATGAAATATGCTATAAAATATTATTTCGTTGTCGATCACAAATTTGTGGACAGCCTTTGGCGCAACTTTTGTCTTGCATTTTAGGTCTTTTCTGTCTCAATTCGGAGAGTTCAGGAAATCGATATTTTACACCCACCGTTCCGCAACATTTTACAGATGTTTCCTAGTTTTTCAACTAAATGAAAACGTTGCTCAACATGTTACCGAAAATGTTGGCAATATATACAGAGCTTAATGAGCACACTGAGTTATACAAATCATCTCAATGCCATGGTAAAATCATGAAACCTTTTTCCGTTAAAATTAGTTCATACCAAATGATGAATGTCTAAAATTCTTTTTTGCTCAAATTTTTGAAAACTATAACAACTTCAGAAACAATCGTTATCGGACGGACAACTGAACAATATGATACAATAATTGTATGTCGACGACAGTATTGTGTAAGTGTATTGGAGAAAAGTTCAATAGTAGTCCATAATGATATTTATGTACAATCGAGCAAAGGCAGTTATTTATGTATTTATGTGATATACCACTTCCGCTATAGGTCCTTTCATACCATGGCGTTTTTGCCAGCGAATGTCGATGTTTGACAAATAAGTTGGCCTAAGTCGAATAAGTTTTGAATAAGTTAAAAATACTCTGAAAGACGCTGCTATGCGTTGAAGTAAGGCGAATTTTTCGTGTTTTGACGACAACAAAACTTACTGAACGTGTTTCTTACTTACAGATACGGTATAAGCGTATAATCATGTTAAATGGTTTGTAAATATCGGGTACCAATTTTTCATTATATGGTAGGATTTTTTTGTCGAAATTTTTTATTGTCACCCTAAATATGAACCTTTTGAAAAAAAAACATAGACAAAAATATTCCTTGTTCCGATTTTATATTTGAATTTGTCAATCTCTTTAAAGTTGAGTAAGAAGCTATCAATTTTATATATCTGTGTCCTTCGCTTATTAACTTCATTACATAACAAGTCGGAGCTGAATTTCGTCGTATATTTTTCCTCTCCAAATGAGTTTCTTACTTTTCTGGGTAATTTCCGATAGCGAGCAGTTTATATTGTTCGTAAACCACCAACCACCCTCCAGGCGCTGAGGGCAGTTATAATTGGTAAAATCTTTATCCAATGTAGAAAAAGGACGGCCGTCGATAGTCAAGTCAATGTCTGTAAAAGCATCATCAAGACTAAAATAAGGCCCAGTATAAAGTTCAAAGTTACCAATCGTTATAGTGTAATTATTAAGTTGGTTAGCAAGTCGAAACGTTTTATACGAACATCGGTAAATATCGTTCTTTAACCTTGCCATAACTGTGAGGTAGAAAGCCGGGTTATTTTGTAGTATGTTGTAAACATGTTCTAGTCCAAGCCAGTAGTTTCCATGAATGGTTCCGAATCCAGTCGTATATTTCTCCCAACCAGTATTAAAATTGGCACTGCCTTGATCCACACAGACGGATCGACGATGGGAAATGAGCGTAATTCCACCTGCGGAATTAAAGATACAATTAACTTCAAGTATTTCATTCTTGGGTTTTATATACGACCTTAATGACTTGACTGATATGGTTATGTTCTTATTATAGCCATCGGTACAATCTGTAAGAGAAATGTGCATATCTGTTATTGGCGATTTAATAGGACTCGAATCCACACACATAGATTATCACGTACTTGATCATTATAGCCAGATCGTAGATGAGTTAAAAATGAATAGAATTGATAACTGTCCATAATTATGATATTAGTTAAACAGGTTATTGTCAGACCATAATGTTTTACCAATCATATGAAATAGTAATGACAGTCTGATAGTGTATTTTTTTGGTTGATGGAAATACTCCCAAAAATCATCTTTTCGGCATTGGATTTCACATTATACATTGGTAAATTTGATTTTGAATTTTAGTGAAATTACAGAAGTAAAAATCAATTCAAACATCATTGTTGTGGAAGATCAACTTCACATGATTTCAAACCAAATGAAAGTAAGCCAGTCAACATTATTTTTTATACGGAACAACAACAGTATTCATTTATTTTGTTTCTGCTGACTGAAAGTTGATTGAGATGAGACAAAGTCGATTTGCATATTTAAGAGAATTTAAATAGAGCACATATTCCAAGTTGTTTTATAGCTCGACACCTCCAGAAGAACAAACTGTAAATCGGTCGATCGTAATGTTCAAAAGTCAAAAAGGCAACCTTACCTTTCATAATGTGTTGACATCTATCACCATAGTAACCAACTGGACATCTCGGACAACGCACCTCATCGCATACAGTTTTCTGAAAAAAAAATGTCATATATATCCAACAGTTGATTTCTTTATGGTTGTCGGAAACTATTGAATTAGGAATATTTGGCCACATTATTGAATCAAAGATTTAAAAAACAAAAAACTCAAATATGTGAATACCCCCTTTCCGGCTTTAAGAAAGTATTCGATTTCCTCTTTATATGGATGGTTTATATCAATATGCGAAGAGCACTTCCTAACGAACGAGGTCAAAAACTGTACAGTTTAAGATGTTTACAATCTTAAATTTTCTTTTTTTTTAATAATTTTGCTTTAATTTCGAATAGGACAAAACACATATCATTTCAATTGAGCGTATGATACTGAAGAAATTATCAATCGACATTTAAAATTTTACATGTTTCCTATCGTTGAAATTTACCAGGCCTACCAATCAAGTCCAAAGAATGGCAAAATCGTGATTAATAGTGGACTCCTCCAAAGAGCAGTACCATCAGGTGTTTCGAAAAGAGAAAGCCAATACTACAATGGTCAAAATCATAAGATACAACCATATCAATCCATGAACAAACCAGATCAATCCATGACCGAACAAATCAGCCAAAATGCCAGAAGGTCCATACATAACGACCATACAATTTTTTTAGTACTAACCTGTCTAAAACAGAAAGAATGATTAAATCTGTCCTGGGCATAGCAATTTTCTCCAGATTCATACATGAAACATAATTTCTGTTTAAAATCGTACATAATTCTTCGACAATCAGCTTTCTTCATACAATGATATCCGCATTCCAACAAGGAAAAAACATTCATTTTCTGTAGATGCATATTGAATTTATTTTTCGTACATTTGTATACCTCATATATAACCTTAGTTTTGATGTAATCTGACTCGAGAGTTCCACAAACTAAAGTTTGCGTACAGAATAACAATGCTAAATCTAAAAATAATAGCCCCTTCATATTAGACTTATGGAATTTAACTTTCCCAAATAATCCAATTTTACCTTTAGATAGACAACACAACTTTCACTTATTTAAATGTGAACCTCCGCCTTGATATACTACAAATATTGATTTCCGATTACACTCAGAATGTCATATAGAGGAAGACAGTACATAAATCACAAGTCAGTGGTGTAGTTGAAGTCGCTGAATATACATATACAAATTAATAATACAGTGAAATTTGTATTTCTGCAAAGCTCATTTTTACCTATCAAGCTTTGTAATTCATTGACAAAAAAGTATTCCTTTATCGGCACAAAATAGCAAAGCGAGGGACGCTCTTGCACTTAATGGCTAGGGGTCCAGAACCAGGTTCATCGACCCTGAGTCAAATTCCATTGATGCTTGTGAAGGATGTAGGTAACTTGGTCATAGTAAATTTGGTTACCGGAAATATGGTTACAGTTATTATTGTCACAGTAATATGTGCCAGTATTACTGTGACCAAAATACCTTGTGCCCGTATTACTGTGACCAAAATATCGTATGCCCGTATTACTGTGACCAAATTACCTTGTACCTGTATTACTGTAACCAAAGCACCTTGTGCCCGTATTACTGTGACCAAAATACCGTATGCCCGTATTACTATGAACAAATTACCTTGTGCCCGTATTACTGTGACCAAATTACCTTGTGCCCGTATGACTATGACCATAATACCTTGTGCCCGTATTACTGTGACCATATTTCCGGTGACCAAATTTCCTGTGACCAAGTTAACGTACAGTGCTTTTGCATGGATGCAGGTGTTAGCAACATGTTTTCTTATCGTAATATAACATTTGTAATCAATTCCCTCCAATGAACTCTTGAATTTAATTACATACGTTTTCATGACTTACGTCCCTTGAACTTTGAAATTCATCAGTCAAGTCACTATTTTTTCTGCATGTGCGTTCTTACTTGTCATGTTTGTTGAGTGTATGTTAAGCCTGATGTGGCGCCAGACAGTGTATGGTTACTCCTCTAGACACCATATTTCCATTATGTAATGCTTACTTTCCTCATGAGAAAAGTTCTAATGTTTCGCCAATATGTTGTTATGATTTCGTTTATTGTCGTCACCGTTGGTCCGTCCGTCCACAATTGCTCGTAAACACTCTAAAAGGTATAATTCTTGACTGATTTTGTCGAAACTTGGTATGATTGTTTGTTATCACCCATGGATGATCCTTATTGAAAATAATGAATTATTGCCCTTGTTCTAAAAATGCTCGTAAACACTCTGGAAAGTGCAATTCTTGACAGATTTTGATATAACTTGGTGTGAGTGTTTGCTATCGCCCAAGAATGACCCTATTCAAAATAAAAAAATCGAAACATAATAAGTATGAGTTATTGCCCTTGTTCTTGAAAACTGGTTCAATTTTTAGCCCGTAAAAACTACAGAAGGCACAATGCTTAACGGATTCAGATGAATCTTGGTGTGTAATTTAAAATATATGTTTATTTTAAAGATTGCGGAAAACAAAATTGTGCTGGTGCTCGATTTGAGAGACCTAAACAAGTTCCGTCTGTTCCAATTCTACCCCAGACAAAACTTAAGGTCAAGGACAGTAATTTTTGTGAGTTTAATCATGCCTCAGTAGTAGATAAGGCCTAAATTATCTTCTTTTTTAAAAAAATCTGCAACACGGGTGAAGACGACAGTTAAGGAAAGAACGATCTTATTATTGTCATGATAAATTTCTAGGTTTTGTTTTATGACGTATGAGGTGCTCAATTATATTTTTTTTGCGTTCAATAGGGTTCATCCTTGGATGATTACTAACACTCACAATTACATAAAAAAAAATATTAGCGGTTGGGGCGGTTGACATTTGAAACAAACCCAACTCGTTCAAAATGTTCTATGGTCATATGATTGCGGACAGTTCAGCTTTAAAGGTCTATCGCCCAGAAATTAACTTTTCTCTCTCATAATGTACAATAGGGTATTTTGAGTGGAGCTAATATTCAGGCCTACGACCATTCAACTGACTTTCACTTCCATATTGAAACGTATCGTGAGAGATGTGTTGTCTGGTACTATGGTTACCAATGTGGATTGTGGAAATGTTATTATTAACATTAGTAAATGTAATTGACAAACAGCCTCTAGTTGTTATTTAAAAAAAAACATATAAAAAATGTGAGAATTGTTTTGTTTGTTATCATTTGAATTTTTGCAGTCTTAGCCTTGGTAGGCTACGTGACACTAAATAGTTAAGTCACGTTTTGCGCGTCAATTTAGCACCGCAGATAATGTTCGGAACAGACATCATAGTTTGTACCAAGTTCAATTCTGAAAAGAAAGGTAAAATTCCATCTTTGCCGTGGGAACGTCGAGTCGCTGATGATGGTAATGAAAAGGCAGAAACTAAATAACTTCTTTGTCAACCAACCCAACCCTTCCTCTGCCGGCGTCAAGCTGAGATAGATCTATCTGACTTCCTGGCATCATTAGCATCAAACAAGGCTTCTGGTAAGGGCAACATCAATAACAAAATTTTGAAAAATTGTGCATTCTCAAGGCTATTTAACTACCTTCGTTCAAATTCCTGCTTCCCCACTATCTGGAAACAAGCAAGTCCCAATAAATAAAAAGGTGATCCACACAGTTGCTCAAACTACAGGCCAATATCTTTGCTAAGCTAAATGAGCAAAGTCTTCGAAATGTGTATCAACAACTTTCTTCGGTCTAATCAACTATTACTACTGCCCTATCAGGATTCAGAGAAAAGGATTCGTGTGTTTACCAGCTCGTTGATATTTATACTAAAGTGAGTGGTGAAGTGGACAGAGAGAGAGAGATAAATGCGATATTCTTGAACTCCTTTGGAGCTACTTAACCTATCTCATAGAAACCAGTTTGTCGTATTAAATGGTCTTGTATCCAGAAGCAAGGCAATTCCAATATGGATCGCCCCGAGGATCTACATAAATGACAACATTAAAGATATCACATCCTTAGTTCGCCTATTTGCTGATGATACTTCAATGTACTTTACTATACACCTTGATCCTTGCCAAAAGAACTTAAATGAAGATCTGAAAGTAATAGATAACTGGACCAAATTGTGGAACGTTTATTTCTGTCCAGCAAAAACTATCAGTATGATATTCTCTCACAAAATATCACCCAATTTTCCCTTGCTTTCAAAGTCGATAAATTGTCTAATCCATG